GTGTTCACTCCCAGGGCGGGTCACACAGTGAGAAGTCACATGTGTTCACTTCCTGGGTGAAACCCCCTAGTGCGGAGGCCGTGAAGCCATGAGATGGGCCGTCCAGTCCTCTTCATCCCCGGGACTGCAGAATGCTTGTTCTCACAGCACTCAGCGCTGTGACTGCTGGACCGTATTGTATGTACATACTGATTCTGATGAAATCTAACAATCAAAGGGTGGGGCACTCTTTTCTCTTGTAAAGAGGTTCAAGAATGTGGTAAATTGTATAGAAACTTCGTGAAGCCAAAACCCAGTTGAGGGCCTTACAGAGTCCTTGGATAGTCGGCACGATTCATTTCCTTTGTGGTTCACATGCAGCCAAGGATGCACTGGCATTTGCAGCTGGAGGTCACCATCAAACTTGTACTTACATTCCCCATCTTCACGGTTCAAATTGTTAAAAACAAAATAAGAAGGAAGACTTGATAGAATTACTGGTTCTTTACTTCTGTTTTAAACTTTGGCAAACAAACCAAAATAAGAACAAAAAGAAGAAAGAGGGAAAGGAGGGAGGGAGAGAAAGAAGGGAAAGAGAGACCTAGAGGGAAGGGGTGAAGGAGGGGAGAGGAGAACAGGAAGGAGGGATAAGCTTTCTTAGAAGGAGATCCCTGGAAAACAATGTCCAAAACAGGTTGGATATTGAGGGGGCAGGGGGGGTGGGTTTGAACCTGAAGGGCCAATCTGATAGTCACAAACTTTGCATCCTTTCTGTGTTAAACTTTCTAGTCTTCTTGGCTGTCTGCCGTTTGCATAGTCGTTGTGAAGTTGTTGGCTTTTCTTTGTAATATTCTCTGATGACTGAGCCTTGGGGGGATTCATGCTGGTAGAGACAGATCTGAGCAGTTTGGACTCTAACTCATGATTGCATTTTCTTTTTATTTTGGTGTCTCACAAATTATCCAATTGTTGAAAAGTTATAAATATGTTAATACCAGCTTTTTCCAATAAAATAACAAATGTTACATCAAAAATGGGCTCAGAATTCTGTTTCTTTTTCCTGAGGTCTCTTCAGGGGTGTGGGTCCCAGCATGGTGGGTGGAACGTACAGTCATATCTGGAGGAGGCCAGGGCACCTCTTCCTGATGAAGCAGTTGATCTTTCAGAGCTCTCATCGCAACACTGGGGAAATGAAGCTAATAATAGGATCTGCCCCATAAATCGGAGCCCTGGTGGTGCAGTGGCAAGGTACTGTACCCAGCTGTTGGTTGAAAAGTTGGTGATTCAGTTTTGTTCGTGTGTGGTGAGTTCCCTAGTTCACCCTTCTCACAAAAGCAAAAGTGTTGTTGTTTTTTTTTTTTTTAAATCAGACTGTGGCAAATATTTTATTACAAACAATAAAATCTTTCCATAATGCTCACAGTATCAAACACCATTTCATACTCAACAGAGAAGAGTAGGCATTAAGTGCTAGAACCAAGTGAAGTATTGCATTTCAAGCTTCTGATCACATCAAATAGTGACCAGGTCAAGCTTCTATGTCATTTCCCCACGTGATCCAACTGTCACATCTCACTTATCTCAAAGGAGACAAAGGTTTCGACTACATACTTTAACTGCAGGAAGTTGAGAGAGAAAAAATCCAATGGAAACGCATCTATCTCAGTTCAACTCTTGGTTTAAAAAACAAATTAGTTGTTTTGAGGGAAGGGATCAAAAGAAGGTATGAGTTTAAGAGACTCAAACAAGGGCTGGTAGCAATATAGATACAGCTTGTTGTAGCTCTCAAAACTACGTCATATGATATTTTAAAATCAAGTGGCTTTTGCCATTTTTTTGGTATTATAAACATGTGCTGTTCAATATTACCTAAACTTAAAACATTTTATTGCAAAGGAAACAAAAGGTGAAGCTTTTAAGGCAAACAGCATCCTATAAAAAACCCGAAACGAGGTCATTTGTTTGCTATAAGGCTGTGAAGATACCCAAGCAAGACCCCACTTAAGATTCGTCAGCATGAGCTTGAGAGCTTCTGTCCGCTGTTCTTCACACTTAAACTGGGTTTTGATGGAATAGGAGCCACCGCTGTCTCCTGTGTCTTCGGTCTTGCCTTTCTCCACATCCATCCTGTGAGGAAGACAAAAACGGTCTCGCCTTTCTCAGCCTCAGTCAAGGAGAGCCACCGTGGTGTGACCAAACTTGTCCCAGAAAAAGCACAATCTCCCAGAACAGTGTAATGGCAGCTCCTTAGATTTGTCTGTCAGAGACTCTAGATATGAATGTTTCCATAGGGAACAAGTCAATACCTCTGAGATGTCAGACCCACCTCGTTGGCTGGAGCGTGGAGCAGAAGCACCGTCTGGCCCCAAGCAGCATTAAGCTCCTTCCGTTCCACAGGACACTGGGCAGGTGACCCAATCGGGAGTTACTGATCGTGCCAAACCATCCACTGTGCCAGATGTGGAAGGTTGCATTAAAGGCGGTTTCCTGCAGCTTGTCCAGCTGCATCTGGTGTTCTACACTCTTCATCATCTGGCTCCAGCTGTTGTCGCTTAAATTCACTGTATTCCCTCCGGTATTGAACTTCCTCCTGTTCCAGTCTCTCTGCCTCAGCCTGGACCTCCTCGAGATTATCTGCCACTATCTTGCGGTTCTTTTCCACATCTTCCAACTCCTGGAGAGTCTTTCCTCCTCCAGTGCCAGTTCCTTTAGCTCCATCTGTAGCTGTTCGCCGTCATCCTCATTCATTTGCTCT